GTTATACGACGTATTCACCAAGACTGCCGCCTGCTGCTAATCGCAGCGTATACTGCTGTTCCCGGACATTATACTTAACAACGCGTCCGATCCCGGACGGCGTCTGAACGCACTCGCCTACAAGTGCAGGAACAACCTGAATGTCCGCCAGTTTTGTGGGGTTGAGGAATAGCAATTCCGATGCTTGTAGTTCAATAGCAGCGATGCCGTCGTCGTCTCGAATTGCCATGATTTTGCCGAGCCCAAACGGAGTAGCCACGCGCGCACCCGCAATCTTCAAGTTCTGAGACTGATTTGCGACAGTATCGTTACTGAGAGAGTGCGGTGTCTGAGGCATAGCATCTATTGGTGTCGTCGGCGTGGGGCGGGGCTTGACAAAGAAGAGTTTGGAGGACGACGAGAGTCCCGCACGTGCAAACGAGTAAACGGATTTGAGCGCGGGACGCGGCGTAGATTCGTTATCGCTCTCGCTTTCGCTCTCGGGCTGCGTTTCTAATCGAGTTTTTCGCGACACAGAAGACGGGCAAGACTGCAAGCGACGTAACTTGAGAGCTCCTGACTGATTAGACGTCGCGCTCTCACACTCAGATGCGTCGTCACTCGAGTCATCAGACGTGGTGGTGGGCGCTCGATGCGACGCAGTCTGCTTTGATACGGAGCCACGAGGCTTCCACACAAGCATATCGGAGAGCGATGCAAACATAACTATTATAAAAAAGTAACTCTTTAGTAGTGAATGAAATTTTGAAGTGGAAGTTGGAGAATGCTCTTGACTTTCCTGGTGCGTAGGAGGAACGTGAAGCACCCGCACGAGAGAAAGAACTGCTGGAGGTATTTGAGATTAGAAACGCTTAGCTTATTAGGGTATCGAGCACAATGGCAAGACAGGTTCAGGAGCTAGCAACTTCGATCAACTTGAAAGACAGAAGCGTTACAGTCATTCACAATACCCAATTCTGAGCATCTTAAAAAGCCCAAGGAATAGGGTAAGCACAACACCATATCTCGACGGGACGGTGACGTCAGTGCTAAAATGAAAGTAGGAAGAATGAGAAAAACGATTCTGTGCTCAAAGTTTCGGCTGTGCTCGACATCTTGTAACGTTTTAATGCCAGCAGTTTTGTGCGTTGTTAAAACCCTCCCTTACTAGTCATCCATGCATAAAAACGGTCCCTACATCTCGTCAGGTGAATTGCTACAGCAGGTAGGTGATACGTAATCGCCCATATGTCTTAGATGAGCGTTCAACCGGCTTTATGGGGTGCAATCATAGCGATCATGGCAACGTTGTTATAATGCTTCTGAGTTCAGACAAAATCGAATCGAACCGTCCACCTCCGTTTCCTGGTCTCGCTAAACATGCCACGAGTTCGTAGTTGTTTCATACAAATTTCAATTAACGGAGAAGATCTAGAGTGTACTATACTTTAGCTATGAGAAGATTAAAGTTCAATGCAGTTGCTAGAAGATTTCAGCATGTCTATCAAGCCCACCGAAAAAAACTCACGTTATGTACCCACACCAGACAGATTCGCTGGACTCGATTTTTTAGGGATCAATCGTCAGTGGATATATAACAAAATTTTGTGAATAATTTTAGCGCAACATCGATGCTTGTTGTTCGCGCCGCATAAAGTAGCTTTTATGGACATCAGAGTCACTAAAGTCAAGCACAAATTACGTAAGACTTTTAATTTCTTATCTATTTGTGACCTGGAACTAGGCTGCATTACGGTTGATGAGTGCTCGTAATCGCCTGATTGATGCTCAAGTCAAATTTGCTACCCGACTGAGCTATCTTGCAGCGGGGCCGCCGTAGCTTTGCGCTGTGAGAAAGCGTAAGATAGGTCACCGACCTCTCGTTCTATACACAGAACAAGTACGAGTTTAGCAGATCGCAATCCGCTTACTCCAAGAGTAATCACAACCTTAACCAAGGCTAATTAACTCTTCGGTTTAAATCAAAAACTGACTTTATTCTGCGGCAAAGCCGCCTGATTTTAAATGTTTAGATCCTAAATATGTAAAGTAAAATCTAAATACATGTATAACTACTGGCTATCCAGCCCCGTACCGTATTCTTGTTTGGGTGTGGTCACACCATGCCCATCTGGTGTGATACACACCCTGTTACCAGGGTAAGTGTAACCCCGTTCCACTCTCCTCCATTAAAATAGAGAACATTTACAGTTCCAATCGATTATTGCTTCAACGAGGCTTGCGTGTCCGTTAGACACTGCATTGGAACAAAATGACTTCCGTGCTCAATGAGCCCTGTGTCAATGATACCGAAGTCTCCAAGTCTCGCTGGTTCCGACAGCGCTCACGGGCAGAGCCCAGCTTTATCACGGTGCCATGTCGGACCGTGTATCCGCGGCATCGAGGGATGTGAATCTTAGGCTCGATGAGCCCGAGCGTCGCGTTCCGCGCACGCTAACGATGACGAGTGACCTCGTTGAGGATGTGGAGGTGGTCGAATACAAGTCTGACACTCCTTTTCCCGAATGAAATGACGAGGAAGGCGAGCCGCATCAGCGGCGTGAGACGAGCCCTGCTCGCGCCTTGCAGACCCCATGTCCGTTTCCTGAGTTCTCGTCACCTGAGGAACGTGGCGTAATCACCGATGACCTCGATGAGGCACAGAAGCGGCAGCTGGAAGCTGTCCGT